TGGGTTGGGGAACCCCTGGTATCAATGTGGCTGGGAGATGAAGGATTTGAGAGCAACCCTGCCAAGAAGGACATGGTAATACTGATGGATGAAAAGCTGGGTATGAGCTGGCAATGTGCACTCGCAGCCCAGAAGGCCCGCTGTATCCTGGGCTACATCAAAAGAAGCATGGCCAGCAGGTCGAGGGAGGTGATTCTGCTCCTCTACTCCATTCTCATGAGACCCTGCCTGGAGTACTGCATCCAGCTCTGCCTCCCTCAGCACAGGAAAGATACGGATTTGTGGGAGTGAGTCCAGAGGAGGGCCACGAAGATGATCAGGGGGCTGGAGCACCTCTCCTATGAGGACAGGCTGAGAGAGTTGGGGTTGTTCAGCCTGCAGAAGAAAGGGCTCTGAAGAAACCTTATTGTGGCCTTTCAGTAGTTAAAGGGGGCTTATAAGAAAAATGGGGACCAACTTTTTAGCAGGGCCTGTTGTGATAGGACGAGGGATAATGGTTTTGAACTAAAAGAAAGTAGATTCAGACTAGATATATGGAAGAAATTATTTACAATGAGGATGGTGAAACACTGGAATGGGTTGTCCAGAGAGGTGGTAGATGCTCCATCCCTGGAAATATTCACGGTCAGGCTGGATGGATTCTGAGCAGCCTTATCTAGTTGAAGATGTCCCTGCTCTCTGCAAAGGGGTTGGAGTAGATGATTTAAGGTCCCTTCCAACCCAAACCGTTCTATGATTCTATGTCTATAAGCATATTATACTCAGTTTCCTTTTAATTTCTTATCAAACAGCTTCTTCATTTTTCACTAATCTCTTCTTAAAAAAAAAAAAGTTTTAAGTCACTATTGTGGGGCTTTTGTGTGTGTTTGCCTTTTTTATTCCTGCCAGAAGGCTGAATTTAATACATTATGATCCCTTGTATGGAGTACTACTTAAATAGTTACCCACTGCACCACGGGCACTGCTCAGGACTGAATCAAGTGCTATCTTTTTGCCGCAGATCGTCTAAGGTCATGGCTACAGTGTGACTTTAATTACTTTAATTAGTTTGTGCCACCACTGAAGAGGGTGGTCTTGCTTTTCATCCCTGCTGTCGCACCTTCTCTCTGCATTAGGAAACAAGAGATCTAACTCAGTAAAACTATGTGAAACATAACAGGGCCATTTAAAACCAGCTGTCGTTCACTTTGGGAACAGTGTGTTCAACAGGGAGTTAAGCCGTCAAAAGCTCCAGCTCAACTCCCTTTCAGGTTTGACTGGGGCTGAAGGGGCTGCAAACAGCAAAACTTTAAAAACATGGCTTAGGCTCAGCTCTGGTCCAAGTTCCTGGTCCCAGCTTATAGCAGACCTCTTGGGCCACATGTCCTTCGATCTGTCACTTGCCATGCTTGAGCAAGAAGCACAAGCAACTGGCTTCTAAAAAAGCTGGTATAAGAGAAGATTTATCAGGAAGAGGTTCAGCACCTGTTGGAGGAGCAGCCTTCTGCGCTCTTCTGCAGTTCACTGGGAAGGGCTTTGGCCTCTACAGCTGGTAATTTTATTGCGAAGAGGAGGAGATAGATAGAAAACATCACACTTCTTACCAGCTTTGCCAAAAGCACTTGAAATCAACTTCAAAGAACAGCCCCACCCCCCACCCCTGCCTTCATGCTCAGAGTGCAAAACATCCTTTTGTAGGGAGTTAAACCAGACCAATAAAATGGAGAAAGACATCTTCTTTGATCATTTGTTGCTCAGACAAGCTCCTCAGTAACAGTTTCTAGGTTAATTAAATGTTACTTTGTTCTGACAACAGCTGAGCTTGTGTTCAAGCCTCAGACTTTGTTCCTGTGGCTGAAAGCTCGTGCTCTTTCATAGTCACAGCCTAAGACAGAAACCTTCCAGCTAAATAACACACAAACATAACAGCGAACAGCAAGGTACAACATCTGCCTTCCTGGCTTAACTATTGGTAATGGGGGAATGAGCTTCCCATGTCAGAGAATCAGTTATTTTTTCAGATTTAGAATCATGAATGCGTAACTCTCCAATCTATTTATTTTCTTTAAGGAAAGAAGCATGCATTCAGTTTTTATGAGCTTTCCTTTTTTTTTCCCATCTGGTCCATGATCAAACTGGCTCAGTCAACTCTCTTTCTCTACAGAAAGGAAGAAATGAGAAAACAAGTCTTGCCTATTCCTTTTACGATTAGGAGTGAGAGGAATGAGTGGATTGTGTATGGAGAGCTCTGGTTGCTCTGCTACTTTCCTGTTGGTTTCCCATGTCTCTGTGTCAAGTCTTGCAGAGCTTAATGGTAGTACAAAAATTCTGCTGTCATGGCAAAACCACTATTTCTATGAAGTGCTACTTTTAGTCTATCTGAAATAGTTCCTGTCATAGGGGAACACTTAAGACAGAAGTTTAGCTGTTACTTGGGCAGCCTCTCCTTTATTTGTACTTTGTTCTGGGCAGTTATTTCAAAGATTTCAAAAGGTTTCTACTACAGGAATGAAATGAGCTTGAAAATACCCTGTGGTTCTATGAATGTCAAGTACCTGTATTGACAAGCCTGACTGTGAGTGCTACCCCTGGAAAAGTGTTTCTTTCTATAGCTAGAGACACTATCATCAGATGCCTCTAGCATCAGATGCTGCAATGCAAATACTAACTAATACCCAGCAGCATCTCCAAAACAGATCCAATGCAGCCAGGTTTGGGGAGGTTTAACTGACAAATTGACATCAGGGTCCTAATTTCTAAAATACGTATATGGAGAAGCACACACTAACTGAGCTAGCATATGCAGGGTACTCCTGTTCACAAAATTGCCAACTACACATGTCCAAACATCACAAATCAGGCTTTTTCTTTATATAAAGGGGCTAGTTTTAAAGTAATGATGTTAAAAAAGAAAATACAAATGAGATTTTGCTTGTTTGAACCCTTTAATCAAAACCAAGTAACAACTTCCAGCTTCTCTCTAGCCCATGACAGCTAGAAACAATTATTACTTTCAATCTGTCTGGGATTGTCATGTGTTCACTGGGCTGTGGGAGTCAGGGCTTTAAGAGACCCTCTGGTAGTATGGTAATTGCAGTAAAATATCTTGGTTCCACAGAGCACACCCTTGGCAGTGGAAGGGCAGATCTGCTTATGAATATCATTCTAAATAGATGTTGGATTAAATTCTCTTCTCCTTCAGCTGTTTAAGTTGAGGAAACTGTGTGCATCTGCAGGGATGGGCTCAGGCCTGTCACACCAGCAAAGACAGTCCCACTTTTGGCCTGACCAGTGAGGGTCACAGAAAACCATTACGGGGGTTTGTTCTCACTACAATGCAGGATTTCTGCTGTCTTTGTGCTTGGGAAGGTGCAAACAGCTGACAGTGCTGTTTGCCTTTCGGGCAGGACCTTTTCCAATAGGCCTGGTCTCTTTTAAAGTATCTGAGAGCTTTGCAACCCTTTTGAGTTGGTATTTCCAGAGAGAAGAACTGCAAGTCAGCTTTTAAATGAGTATGTGGGGAATGAAAGCCTGCTGATGATGTGAGCACCACTTGTGTTTTTGCATAGAGACATGAGCTTGGGACATCTATTTCAGTGGAGGTGAAATGCTGGAAGTTGCAACCATAAAGGTGGGAGAGGAAGGTAAAATGAAGGCTCTGAGCATGTGGGCAACTTCAGTATCTCAGACTCAGTTACAAAACACTTGTGCCTTGTCTTTCTGAGGTTTCTACCAGGGCAGTTTTATTCCAAGGCAACCATTTTAAATATCTGTAGCAGGGTCAGGAGCCACCTCCCTTGAGCAGAGGCAGTGCAAACACAGCTCTCCAAAGCACAGAAGAAGAGACCAGGCAGGAGGAAGTATGACTCAGAAGGCCAGTGAGGCTCCAGTCTGTGTTCCCAAAACTGTTTTTGCTTTTCATCCAAAGTCTAGAGTGCAATGTGTATTCAGTCCTGCCCTCTGTGCCCCGAGTGCACTCGGTCATCCTTCAGCTACAGGCTCGCTCTTACTGATACTCTCTGATGTGGGTTTGAACATCCTCCAGCTGAGAAAGGCTTGAAATGCATGTGTGTCATTTTCTGAGCACGTGTTCAAACCACTAATTTAAAATTTAGGCATTAACACCAATGCCTTTTTTTGGTTTTGTTTTTTGTGGGGTTTTTTTGCTTTTAAGGGATGCAATGAGCATTGTTTGGTTCTGAAAAGGCAAGATGTTACCACCAGCCCTTAAGAGACCCCAGGCTGGGGTGCCCAAGGTCTGGAGAGGGGCAGTAATGCTAGACCTTTCCTAATATGTCTCCTCGTGGCAAACTGTAGAGGTTCCCTGGCCCATAGTACGCTTGGTTTCCAGTTCTCTTTAACGGTGCCAAAATTTCCATGTCTTCTGTATCAAAAGTATGAGCTCTAGATTCTGGCTTTCTTGTTGGTAGCCCCGACTGACTGCTGCGGCCTCACCGTCCTGTAACACACTCAGGAGTCTACAGACAGTTGTGCAGGCAGGGTATGATGGACCACGGACCCACTTTCAGCTCCTCTGACGCACAGGCCAGCACTCTGATGGCTTTCTCTCAACATCCACCGCACAGAGAGGCTTGGCTTTGAACAGGGCAGCCTGGAGCTATTACCTCTCGCTGCTAGGGAATAATTATAGGCATTGAAAAGGAAATGAAGTGTGTTCTAGAGCTGTTCAAATCATCCCATTGAACTTTAATAAAAATGGTGCTTCTGCTGTCATATACTCCATGATTAAAATATGACCAGAGAATACATGTTTAGTGAAATTATACATTTTAATAAATTGCTATCGCATAGCAAGTACCTGATTAGTTTCCTTTTTAATAAATTATCTAAGACTTTTCCAAACAGATTTAAGAGGCTAACCTGACTTGAAAGTCTCAAAAGAGAAAGCATTTTTAAATGCAAAGCAGTCTTGTCTAAGGATTTAATTTTAGGACACTGTTTTTGTAGAAAAAGATTTACCATTGCTAAGAAAACCTTGTGTATTGTCGCTCTAAATATAGGTCTGTTTGCTGGAGGAATACTGAATACTCTGTTCTGATCTTCAGGACAAACAATATTTTTACTTCGGTATGAAACAATACTCAAGCTTCAATCCCTTCATGGTCCAAGGTAAGACAATTATTTTGCCCGTTGCAGACAGAAGGAACTTTTTCTGAATTGACATAAAATAACGTTTTCTTATTCCAGGACAAATACACAAATGGTATTCCTTCTCAGGTTGAGTATTTGATGATGCTAAAAGAAGAAAACATAACAGATAAATGTTTATTTTGTCACAAAGTGTTGCTTTGTTATCTGAGCACAACATCACATCCAAATAACATCTCAAATTCCCAGATCAATGTAACAACCCAGTCAAGTTCCCCCAAAATCCAAGGGGATTCAGCACACAGGCCACCATGGGAGTGGGATCATTCTCTGAAGATGGCAAATTCTGTGTTTTATTAAAAATTCCTGTGCAACTGTTTGTTGCAGGGCCTCTCTTGCCTTTTTAACTTCTCTGAAGCTGATGCCTGCACATGTAACATTGCTCCATGAGCAGCAGGACTGATAAAGCCTGGGTTCATGTGGATTCACCTCCCTACTTGAGCCATTCTGCCAGCTTTCTAGAGGGTCCCCATCTCCTTCTCCCTCCTTTCCCATAGTGCAAGCATGCAGCCCTGCTTTTCCCTGCTGGGGCTCTGCTTTTCTTCCCCTTGCTGCCTTCTCCAGACAGTGCCCTTGGCACCCCAAGCCACTGGGGTGTCCAAGCTAGCTTCAGCCCTTTGCAGCAGGCTGGATGAGTGTAAGGTTGCTGGTCTGGTGGGAGAAGCAGAGATAGTGGTCCATCATCATCCCTTCAGGTGTTGCACTGAACCAGGAATGCTTGGAGCCAGAATCTCCAGTTCTGCCTTTCCAACAGGGATGCCCTCCCTTGTACCAGAGACCAAGGCAGACATTGATACGGTACCTTCCTTCAGCACAAGACAGAGCCTGTGTGAATCTGTCTGTGAGGGATATTGCGCTTTGTTCACAGGAATTTTTTTGGCTTAGAAATATTTCACAACTATGAAAGGAGAAAAATTGCTCATGCCATCAGTTCTGTCTGCAAACTCTCTCCCACTTCTTGGCAGTAGAATTTACTAGTGGTGCTTTGGCACCATCATGCACTCCCAGGATGAAAAGATCAGTTGTTCTAGTTATTTCTAATGAATATACAATTTAAAATAAGTTTTCCACATAAATTAGACTTTTACACTCTTCAGTAGTGCCAGATGGACCAAGCCATCTGTCAGAGATTAACACTCATTAAAGGACCACTTAGTATTAAAAAAATAACAATAATGTAGCATTCCAAGAAAATTTTTGCTTTGTGCATTGGTTGAACTAAACAATTGCATGTGAAGCTGCTCTTGTTTTCAAAGATCAGCATTTGTGACTGCTTGTATAATACTTTAACGAATTGGAAACAAGAGATTGTTGCATGATTAACCATTTTTATAGCTTGGGGACATTTCTGAGGGTCTCTGATCTGAGATGATGCTGCAAATGCTGCAAAAAAAGTTTGGAGAGCGAGAGACAGCATGGCAAGCCATGGGCAAGTCACAGGCAAATCAGGGATTGTTACAGGAAAGGGTAAAGCCCTGAATAAAGTGTCTCTCCCTTTGAATTGAGAACAAGAACCTGTAGAAAAGTTAGAAATAATGTTGTTTAACTGATGAGCATTGCCATTATCCTGCAGGCTCCCCCCTGGAGATCTTGATTCTATTTTCCCTCCTCGCTGTCCACCACCAGCCCAAAGCCTTGTGCCAAGGGAGCCCAAGGCCAAGCTTTGCACCTCTCCCCCTCGCACCAACGGCCGGGGGAGAGGCCCTTTGACAATGACAGCCCACGCTGGCACCGCCACTGCAGCCACCTCCTGCCTTGGGAACTGTTCCCCCGTCTGCTCTTTCCAGCCACAGCCCAGGTTGCCACCCGAACAGAGGTGCCTCAGAGCTTGCAAGGGCAGCCCACCCATCAGGGCAACAGCCAAGAGCATGCTGGTGCTGCAGTGACAAGTTGGAGCATCATCTTCAGTAATAAGGACAGGCCAAAGGTAAACCCCCGGGTCTCCAAAAGCTCAGGCTGCCTTTTCAATGTTAGCAGTGCAGGGTAATAACTTCCTGGCAGGAGTTTCTTCAGTGGGGTTTGGCTTGTTAGGTACAGAGATTTGCATGGTGTCTGCATCATGTTATACTTTATGGCCACTGGAGATGGGACTTACTGATCCAGGTAGTCCTTCCCCTCCCCACCTTTCTATCACTTAAATCTATTCATGCCAATAGTGACAGTGTTTCATTAATTTTTTTTCTGTTTCCACTGAAAGGGTCAGGTGTGATCAGACAGCTGACAGAACTGCCAGCAAAAGACTAAGGTTTCAGGGTACTAAAAGAAGAGAAGGCTATCTAAGTTTATCTAAAAAGACTGGTTAGATAAATTGTTTTCAAACTTGTTGTGCCTAATGAAATTCCCTATAGGTATTTCCACCGCTGGCAGAAGCTATCTCAGAGCTGGCTGAGGTTACCTGAGAGTTTGGAGAGGGTGACCAAGGTCACGTAAGACTGACCAAGGACAGATAGAGTGCCCAGCTTTATAAAGGGGGGACAGATGAGCAAGACAACTGGAGATCAGTTGGCTTAACTTCAGTGCCCTAAAAAACACTGTAAAAACTAACCAGGCTGCTTGCAAATACATGAAAGACACCAAGTAGGTGAGTGATGGCAAATGCAGATTAACAGAGAACTAATAGGAAACCCATTTCAGGTTCTTCCTGTGAGAGGATAAAAGTGGAAACTCATTCTACATAAGCAACAGATGTGCTTTGACTACTACTAAAGCTTTGACTTTTTCTCACACTGCGTGCCTGTAAGGGGAAGTGACTTGAGTCAATGTGACACTATCGTAAGGGAAATTCAGAATTGGTTAGAAAATTTGTTTCAGAGAGTCATTGTCAGTAAATCCCTGGTCAAACTGGAAGGTTGCATCAAGCATGGATTTCAGTGAAGCCAATCTATGGTACTATACTGTATCTTCGTTAATGCTTTGGATACTGAGAGCCTGGAGTGCAATTATTAAATGTGCAGATGACAGCTAGGGTGGAAGGACTTCCAGTATATAGGAGACAGCCTAGAAATTCAAAATGATCTAGCCAAACTGGAAAAACTATCTAAAACATGGAGGCAGTTTGATAAGGACAAGAGAAATTGCAAACCTGGCATGGGTTTCTGGATGAGCAGACATTTGACGAGGCAACACCTGGCTACACAGCTGTTCTGCTGAATTTAGGTGTTAGCGTGTGTCAGCACCTTGCTGCTGCAGGGAAGGGTAAGCATCGTACTGGGTCACACCACGCGGTGGTGAGACGTGTGAAAACATGAAGTGATACTCCCCCCGCTTGGCACTTATCTGGCATCAGCAGAAATGTGTCATTTGGGATGCTACAGTCTGAGGAAGCACAGACCAGCAGTCTGGAGGAAAGCAGCAAGAGCAACTAGTCATGGTGTAGGAAAGGATGGTGAGAATTAGGGCTGCTCCTGCCAGGGAAGAGAAAACTGAGAAGATATGCAATAAGATTTTCACAATCAAAAGCAGCAGCTGCAAAGAAGATGGGAGAGTTTAACAAGTCTGCTGGGATAGGAAGACAAATAGGATGAAATTGCAGAGGAGATTCCAACTCAAGTGCCCCCCCACCCCACCCCGAGAGGGCAGCAAAGTCTTGGCAGGACCATGCTGGTCACCACACCAGAGGTGTTTCATGGACACATTGGAGAAACATCTGTCAAGGGCAATTTAAGCATGCACTGTGAATGAGAGATGGCCTGGTGGACCTCCCGAGTCCCACGATATAACACTGCTGTCTCTCCAAATGCCTGCAAGCAAGAAAGAGACCTTGGTAGCTTTGGTGGAGGTGACTAACATTTCTCTCTTGCTGCTACCGAAAGAAAGTACCGTGGTTTCACTTTTAAAGATGAGGAAACTGAGGCACATATCCCTGCTTGGATGAAAGTTTAGCATTTGGGCAGGAAGGCCAGTGTGCTCTGCTCCAGAATGTGCATGCAACCCCAGCACCAGTGATCTGGTGGAGCAGCTGCCCAGCTGAAATACGCTTTTTGATAAAATTATCAAGATTAGAGCCAGGGCTCATTTTTGTGTCTATGTTATGTTGCTCAGGGAAATAGTTAAAAAAATAATTATGTTTCATTTATAGAATAGTTTAGAAAAAGTTTAATCCCTTTCATGAGGCATATGCATAAGAGAAACATAAGATTTTATTGCAACTCATTTATCTGCAAAATTGATGGATCCCTCCTACTCTCCAATGGGATATTTTATCCCCTGTAAATTTCTTTCTGGAGTTACACACTGCAGAAGGTGATGAATTTGACTGTTATGCCAAAGAGATGAGGGCAGTTGAAACAATGGACTTAATTTTTCTTATCTGTAGACGGAAAAGCTGAAGCAGCTTTGACCTTTTTCAAAAAAATCTTAGGAGGGCAGAAACTGAGAGCTATTCCTAAAACACCCTTACAAAGCATTTTGAAATCCCTTGATGAAAAATACCCCATGGCGATGACTATTATCAGTACTTAACTGTGCTGTATCAGCAAGAGTGCAGCCAGTGGAACAACGGATGCAACTATCTATCTCACATCACACCTGGGCACTGTGTCTAGTTCTGGTCCCCCAGGGTCAAGATGGACACTGAAAGACCATGGAGAGCCCAGCAGGGTTGGGGCGGTAAATGCACCAAGATGCTTATAGGTTTGGAGACCTCAGCCCATGAAGAAAGGCTGCAGGGATTGGGTTGATTCAGCCTAGAGAAGCGAGGGCTTGGGAGGATTTCATCCCAGTCTTTCAGTGGTGGAAATGCAGAGATGATGAAAGCACTCTCTTCTTTAGGATGCACTGTGATGGACAGTCAAGTCGTTTCAGGACAAATTTTGTCCCCTTCTTCTTGTTCTTGTCCACAACTTCTCCACTGTGAGACCAACTAAAGGTTGGGATAGGCTGTCCAGAGGTGTGGCAAAACTTCCCTCAATGGAAAGAAATATGCAGGACTTGGCTTGGCAATGTCCTCGATCACCCAACCT